ACTTATATATATAGTTTAATTCCCTCACATGTGTGATTTTCTTCACACTTGTTTACATTGAAGTTGAATTTTTAAATTCCATGTCTTCCTTTACTAACATGATCACATAAGACAACCCAATATTCCTACATAGTGTGAATTTTGGCAGGGATCCACAGTTGTGGACCTCGAAGAGTGCCTAACACCTTCTCTTCGAGGTAATTTGAGCTCTTACCTGATCTTTGGTAACATAGATTAATGCACCTCAAAATCGTTAGATGGCAACTCTTTTCTTTTAATACCCATTTAAAAGAGTTGCCACATGTCGAAACCCGCTTTCGAGAGAAAAAAGGGCGCGACAAAAGCCATAGGAAACAATCCCAAACAATAAAGCTATAATCTTGAAATAACTATACAAAGTCAACCCAAAAGGTCAGCCCCATGCCCGCTCCTCAAAACCCGAGAAAAGTCACAAATCCTGAATACTCATTCGAGTATGCGTCCAACCATACAGGTTTCATCCAATTCTGACTCTGAATCGTGGTTCAAATCCTCCTTTTCATTTTAGAAAAGTTTTGCGAAAATCCCTAATTTTCTTCACTTAGATTCATCATTCAAATGCTAAAATCAAGGTTAGAATCATGAATAATAACCAAATCCGAATCAAAAATATTTACCCCAATCCAAATCAAGAAAATCCTCTCAAAAATCCTCCAAATCCGAGGTCTCAATCTCAAAATATGATAAAATGACTAAAATCCTCAAAATAGATTAATTAAGCATCTGCCAAGTAATACCATTCGCGATCACGGGACCAATTTTGCGATCGCGAAGCACAAATCAAAAACTGCCTTAGAAGACCTTACGCGAACGCGAGGACCTAGTCGCGAACACGATGCCTACCACTGATGAGCCTACACATATCCAGTCCCCCACACGCGAACGTGAAGGCTAAAAACCTAACGAACCCATTCGGCCTTCCCTTCTACGTGATCGCGACATCCAGCCTGTGAACGCGAAAGACACTACTCCCATGTTCCGCGAACGCGACATACCCTTCACGAACGCGAAGAGAAAACATCACCAACCACCAAACACTGTTCGCGATCGCGATACACCACCCTCGATCGTGAAGAACACTAGAACACCAAAAGACAGTTGATCCAAATCAAGGGGAAATGGTCTGAAACTCATCTGAAACACACCCGAGGACTCCCCCGGACCCCGTCCAATCACACCAATCAATCCCAAAATATAACACAAACCTACTCGAGGCCTCAAATCATACAAAATCACATTCAAACCATGAATCGCACCTCAATTCAAACTTAATGAACTTATCCAAATTTTCGAATTCAAAACTTATGCCGAACATGCCTAGACAACTCGAAATGACCTTAAATTTTACACACAAGTCCCAAATGACGAAACGAACCTATTTCAACTCCCAAAATTACAATCTGAACCTGATATCATTAAAGTCAACTCCCGGTTAAACCTATGAACCTTTCAAACCTTCAAGTTTCCAACTTTCGCCAAATATAACCAAATCAACCTAAGAACCTCCAAATCCAAAACCGGCCATACGCCTAAGTTCAAAATAACCATATGAACCTATTGGAATCATCAAAATACCATTCCCGGGTCGTCTACATAAAAGTCAAACTCCAATTAACTTTTACCACTTAAGCCTCCAACCATGGAACTAAGTGTCCCAAATCAATCCAAAACTTCTCTGAAACTAAATCAACCATCCCCGCAAGTCGCACAACAACAAATAAACATAAGGAAAACATCAAATATGGGAAATGTCACGACCCCAAAATCCCGCCTTTAAGACCGCGATGGCACCTAGTCTCTAAGACTAAGTAAGTCTAGCACATGCTGAGAATTAACATAAATAAACAACTTAGCCACTAAATTAAACAGATAATTGACATAATAAAAGCTTAAACTGATCAATAGTCATACATTCCCCAAAATTGGTAGTAATGAGTCACAAGCTCTACTGAATAATTTTAGCTTCCTGCTCCAATTTTGAATTAACTTTCCAATAATCTCTTATTTGTGGAGCTTGAAATCTTATAGTTCTAATACTTTTCATTCGACTTCACCAACGTGCTTGTGATAATGATTTAAGAGTTAGGTTGGGCACATTATCTTTTAAATACAGTGTACCACCCTAAAAAATTATATAACTTTTTAAAATAATTAGCTACGTCACAAAGTACTATATTTAATTTGTAACAATATTTTTAGAAAACAAGACTTTTGTATAAATCTATTAGAAAAATTTGGGACTCCAAAATTTTTGGCCTAAAGCACTAGATTTAGTTGCTTTAGGCTTCAGCTGCCCCTGGTTTACAGTATTTCATCAGAATAATTAAAAGAAAAACAGAAATACTTGCATTTTAAAATGACCGAAAATTTGTAGACCGAATATTTAGATATTTTACATTAAAATACAAGAGTGGCGATTAATATATTTGTTCAATTTAAATTATATAGGAGTTTTAGTTCTGATACAATATTGTATAATAATGGCGTTTAGAATAATTTATTCAGAGAAAATAAAAGAAAAGAAAACCTTGCAATTCATAATGACTAAATATTTGTAGGCCCAGAAACAAAGAAAGGAAATGAAGATTGAACTGGAATGGGCTTAATCTTCTTATAGGCGCCGTGGGTAAATGGGCTTAGCATACAATCCAAGGGTTCATAGAAAATCAATGTGGGGTTCTGCTCTTAATAACCTAGCGTTTCTTGTTAAATCTGATATTGGGTGGAATCTTTCTCTTGTGTGTTTGTTTTCGTATCAATTCCCTACTTTAAGTTCTATTGTACAAGATAAAAATGAAAGAATATGTAAAACTTTTTATTTGTCGATGTAGCCTCTCGGTTATAAGTATGAACTCTGAATATACATACCCCTATTAACTTATCTCTAACTAAAGCAAACAAACGGACTCCAAGCAGGGGCGGAGCTAGTGTTTTATTTACGGATTCGGTCGAACCCAATAGTTTTGGTTTAAATTCTTTATTTTTTTTATGAAATTCATTAAATATGTAAAAAAAATTATTAATTTAGAACCTAATAACTTAAAAGGTCTAGAATCTTGATCATGGACTCGTGACATTACTACATACCATCATGCAACCCTTGTATCAAACGAAACATATAGTAATCAGTAATTAGTATTATAGTCTAATCAACATTTGAAAAAATGACTAGATTTGCACGTCAATAAAGTTATATAATGAATACCATGTTGATTTAAAAATTCTTTATCCACCTATCAGAGTTAATTATTTCGTAGTTTACATGCTGCGTGCACCATAACAATATACTACTTTTGAGTTGAGATTTATACAGACCGGTTGTAACTAGTTCGCCGTAGGTTTAACGTTGTTACATGCTTTTGGCAAAAGCAACTCTTTTTCAATCTCCATATAATACGTGAAAACAAATTCGGAGTAAAATAATAGTGCAAATGAGACAAGGACTCCAATGAAATATAATATGTATATAATATAGATATAATGTGACATATATATATATATATATATATATATATATAAAGAGAGAGAAAATTGTTGTCTCCATGCTACCGAAATGTTATCAATCGATCATTTAAAATAGATGCTTGCATGGATTGTCACATCCAACAACAATAACAACAATTAATCCAGTGTAATTTTACAAGTGAGGTTTGGAGAGAGTAATGTATACGTAGACATTACCCCTACCTTATGAATATAGAAAGATGGTCTCCTAGACTCTAAGTGAAAGTGAAAAGGAAATTACATCCAAATGACAAAAAAAAAAAGCTAATTCCACATTTGCCTAACATGCAGTCCATGATTATCTAGGCAGGTTCTAACCAGTTGGGGCCATAATAGTTAATAATAATATATCATTCTTTTGTCAATTCTCTAATTAGCCTAAACTTTTCTGAAAGGGTACTGAAAGAACTTTTGACAAACCTTTAGTTTCGTAATTTTCCAACAAAGTTTTCTATTGCGTCTAGTTGAGCTGTGTTATATGAAAAAAATAACCAAAAAAAAAAAAAGTTACTCCAACAACCTAGTTCACATTATAACCATTTTAAGCGTTCAAATAATGCAATTATAAATCAATTTACCGAAAGAAATAAGTCTTCGAATTTGGCTTTACTTTAATATACGTACCTGTGCAATTTCGCGCAACGAATCTTCCGACTGATTTAAGCAAATGTTCCATTTCTAAGTCATTGTTTAAATTTTGTACTTATTTTATGGCCCTTAAAAAATTATCCCTTTTGGATAACATTAGACTAAGATCTAATATTTGCTCATAAAGTTTTTAGTTGGCTCGCAAAGTATTAGATCATGAACTAATGTGTGCAATAATTTATCAAATTGTAGATCGCGATCGAATATTTTATCTTAAAAAAATTACAACTTGCTTAAAAATGATCTTTAGACTGCCATCTAAAAGGTCCATAAATTTTTAAAAAAAAGATTTAATATTTGATCTAAAAAGGACAACCGGCGAAAATTTCACGAATATTCCTAGACCCGCTATTGTTTTCCTCAAAACGCACATGCATGTACATTTATTACGTATTAATAGACCTTATTCTGTTAACCAAAAAAATAAAACAAGACCTTACAACTTCTCTTACTTTCTCTTCTTGAAAAACCTCGCCAAAACATCGTATAAC